AGTGCGTCTGCCAGTGTAGTGGACGGGGAGGGGAGGGGTGTCGGGGGAAGCCTGGAACGGGGTGTGCAGGGGCCTGAGTGAGAACAGGCCAGGAAAGGGGTAACGCAGGATGGACATCCCCCTCGGCCGCCCCAAGAGCAGGGGAGGTGTGCGCTCCGGCCTCCTCTGCACGTGGGTGCCACCAGCCCTCTCTTCCAGGCTGCATGGACCCCCGGTACTGCCTCAGGAGACCCCAGCTGCTCCAGGTGCCCAGCGACCTGCTCCGGCTGCCTGTGCAGCTGCACGACTTCTCCTGGAAGCTGCTGGTGCCCGAGGACAGGCTGAGCCTGGCGCTGGTGCCAGCCCAGAAGCTGCAGCAGCACACCCACGAGAAGGCCTGCAGCACCAGCTTCAGCTACCTGCTGGCCAGCGCCAGCCCCGGCCGCGACCTGTACTTTGGCTCCTTCTGCCCTGGGGGCGCCATCGAGCAGATCCAGGTGAAGGAGAATGTCTCCGTGACCCTTCGCACCTTCTCCCCCAGCTTCCAGCGAGAGGCCCCGGGGCAGGGCCTGGCCGTGTCCTTCGTACCACACTTCAGAGGTAAGGGTCCATGCCCCTCCCACTCCGGGCCCTCCCCTTCTCGCTTGGCCTTTTTCTAGAGTCGGCTTTGTGAGCCCCTGCAGTGAGTTGTGGTCCAGGAGGAGCCAGCGGGCTCGTCCTCGCACCAGAACTCGGAAGCCCAGTGAGTCCTGATCCCGCGGGCCAGTCACTCAGCACAAGAAATAACCCAGGGCCTCCTGGTGCTGGTTTTCGAAGGGTCGCACCCAAACCCTCACGCAGACGTTAGGATTCTGGTTTACGGCCCGATGTGCAGAGGGCACAGAGGAAAGGGCGCTGGGAGGGGCCTCGAGGCAGGAACCGGCCACAGTGGCTCCTCTGGGGGAGCTCTCTGGTGGATCTTTATTTTTTTAACTTCAAAGAATTATTTTATTTAACTTTATTTATTGTCATCATTATTATTAATTTGATCAAAGACAGAGAGAGGGAAAGTGAAGAAAACAAGCCGCCAGGTCTGGGACTCGAACCACAGTCAGGCATGTGGGAGTCCAGCATCCTTAACCACCACACCCCCTGCTGGCTCCATGGTGGGTCTTGAAAGTCAACATTACAGAAAGCTGGACCAGGACCTTCCTCTCGTGTTTCTTTGTACTTCTATTCTTGGAGACATGAGTGGGCGAGAGGAAAACCTTTGGCCATAGAAGTAAGAGCGGTCTGGGCGGCCTGCTATCACCAAGGTTACCAGAGAAACGCCTCTGGGAGTCTGAGAGTAAGACCTTCTCATCGGGGTGGAATGTAGCGTTTTATCTCACCCGAAGGTAGGGAAGAGATTAGTTGACATGTAGGAAGCTCTTCCAGCATTGCAATTCTAAAATACTTCCCAGAACTGGGAGGTTTTAACTTTATTTATTTTTTATTTTGACCAGAGAGGGACAATGTAAGAGAGAGAGAGAGGGAAAGTGAGAGAGCAAGCCACCAGGTCCGGGACTCGAACTGTGGTTGACCATGTGGGAGTCCAGTGCCCTCCACCACCACGCCACCTGCCGGGAGGATTTGAAGTCTCTAGAACAGAAGTGAGTCTGAGCCAGTCCACGTGGGGCAGCACAGATGAGCTATCGCTCTGAACTTTTCTTTTTTCTTTTTTTGGAGAGGTTTTTGCTATAGGGCTCGTACGCTCGCCAGAGAGAGAGAGACAGAGAGACAGAAAGTGAGAAATCACCCCCCAGGGGGGATGGCCACGCCGCAATCCCTTCTCCTCCATTCTCCTCTCGGGATCTTGGGCACGCACACACATGTGCCCGGCGTGAGTTTTAAGCCACCGGGTCCGGGACACGAACCGCGGTCGACTACGTGGGAGTCCAGCGACATAGCCATTACGCTAACTGCTGGTTCTTTGCTCTGAACTTTTCTGAAAGGGAGCTAGGATAACCATGGGCTTGGGGTACCGGCCTGGGGAGTGTTGTTTCTTTTTTTTGTTTTGATTTTTACTATAAAGCATACACGCTCCCCAGAGAGACAGAGAGAGAGGAAGTGAGAAATCACCTGCCAGAGCCGATGGCTACACCACATCGCTTTTCCTGCATGCCCCCCTTGGGACTTTGGGCATGTGTGTGCGTGTGCCTGCCCTGATTTTCAAGCCGCTGGGTCCAGGACTCGAACGTGGGTTGACCATGTGGGAGTCCAGCACCTTAACTGCCATGCCACTTGCCAGCCTTTGTTTGTTTTGCTCTGGTTTTCAAAGCCGCTGGGTCCAGGACTCGAACGTGGGTTGACCATGTGGGAGTCCAGCACCTTAACTGCCATGCCACTTGCCAGCCTTTGTTTGTTTTGCTTTTATCCCAAGACCTGAGCCCCCCGTCTGGGGAGACAAACACCTCACTGACTGTTCACTAGCCCCGTAGCTTTTTAAATTGGCATCAGACAAACTCGGTCCCACGGGCACCTGGCAGGGGCCGGCAGGCTGCGTGGGCAGGGCCTCTCCGTCAGGGTGGACATGGAGCGTGTTCATCATGGAGGGGTCGGGTGGAGTCCCGGTTAGGTGGCCCAGCGACTGAAATGACGCCTGTCTGGATCCTCTTCCCTTTCCTGCAGAGGAGGGTGTCTTCACGGTGACCCCAGACACAAAAAACAAGGTCTACCTGAGGACGCCGAACTGGGATCGGGGCCTCCCGGCCCTCGCCTCCGTGTCCTGGAACATCAGCGTGCCCAGCGACCAGGTGGCCTCCCTGACCTTCTTCAAGGAGCGCAGTGGCGTGGTCTGCCAGACGGGGCGTGCATTCTTAATCATCAAGGAGCAGCGGACGCGAGCTGAGGAGATCTTCAGCCTAGAGGAGGAGGCGCTCCCCAAGCCGAGCTTCCGCCACCACAGCTTCTGGCTCAACATCTCAAACTGCAGCCCCGCGAGCGGCAAGCAGCTCGACCTGCTCTTCTGGGTGACACTGACCCCGAGGACTATGGGTAAGGCCTCTAGGGTCTTCTGAGGATGGTGGTGGGTAGAAAATTAGCAGCAGAGGTAGGAAGCAAGCTTGGAGGCGAGTCAGAAAACATAGATGAAGTCCTGGCATTTCCTGTATCAGTCAGCTATTGCATCAATGATGCTGTATCACAAACTACCCCAGAACTCAGTGGCTTCAATGCGCGTGCATTGGCTGGACAAGTCTGGGCTGAGCAGGGCTTATTGGGGCTCACTCTCGTTCACCTGTATGCAGCTGCAGGTTGGCTAGAGAACTTTGCTGATCTTGGCTGGACCCTGGACATGGGAAAGCCCAAGTAAGATCTTCTGAGCCAGCCGGGTTTACTCCGTCTTCCCCACATGGTCTTATCCTCCGACCTAGGCCCGTTCTGATGACAGAGACAGAGAGGCCCACAAGCGACTAGGGGGACACACTGATGCGTACAGTGTCACTCACGCAGCTCCCCTTCCCCCACATCCTCTTGGCCAGCCGACATTTTTCAGCCAGCCTGCCACTGTCCTTTACTGTTGATCTCTCTTTGATAGAGAGGAAGTTTCTGGAAGCCTGAGAGCCTTCTCATCCTAGAGAGAGAAGATAGTAACCTCCTCGTGAGCGTCTCATAGGGATCCGTGTCGGGATGAACGGTGCAGCCCCGGGAAGTGCGACCGAGGTTCCCGGTGCTGGTACCTGTGAGCCCGCCCTCGAGGAAAGCCGGGTCCATGCCGTGCTGCCGTGGCAGACCTGGCCAGGACGGGGCCTTGGCCTTCATTCCTCAGAGCTGTGGGACCCACTAGAGCTCACGCAGGGATCTGCATGGGTGGCAGGACAGACTGGCATCGGCCTTTACACGGCGATGACCAGAGCCTCGCGGGGTATTGGAACCACAAGGGACCCTGGAGGCTGTTTCTTCCAGCACCTTCCATTTCTGGCAGTCGGGTGATGGGGCGTCCAGCGCCCCGCTGGTTAGCAGGAGCCTGGGTGGGAGACCAACGGCCCGGGTAGATTGCTCTCCCACACGCTCCGGTCCGGGTACCTCCCAGGTTTCCCTCCTCTGCCGTTTCCTTTGTCTCCCTGTTTCCTCTCAGCCTTCCCTTTTGTTCTGTTGTCTAGCTCCCCGTGGGCTGCAGGGCGTGGGGTGCAGGGTGTCTCCTCTGATGTCTTCCCCTTCGCCTTCCTACAGCTGCAGGCACAAATCTAACAGGCTTCTCCTAACGCCTTCGCTTCTGACTTCTGACTCCCTGCTTCCTCTGCCTTCCTCCGCTCTGCTCTTCTCCAGAAAGGGCTGTGACAATCGGGGGACACACCGGATGGGCCAGGAGTAGCTTTGGAGGAGGTCTGGTGGGTCTCCCAGTGTTTCTGATACCCATGCAAACTCCCCAGGATGCAGCGGCTCGAACAGTAACCATTCAGTTTGTTCAGTTCCGTGGGATGGGAATTCGGACAGGGCACAGCAAGGCGCTGCTTCTGTGCTCCACGGTCCCTGCCGTCCCAGCCAGATGCCCTAAGCAGAGGGTAACTGGGATGGTCCAGCAGGAGGCCAGGCTAGGACCTGGGTTCTCACCTTCAGCCTGGTCGGGTTTTCCCCACTGGAACCTCCACACAACTAGCTTGGGCTTCCTCACGCCATGGTGGCCTCGGCATAGCCAACTTCCACTGGCCATCCCAGACTCAAGAGGAGGGAAGGAGACCCCAGGTGGTGGGAAGAGCAGTGTGTGGGGGCCGCCCTGGGAGCCACTCATCCGTCATGGGGCTCGCCCCGCCTGTCTCCTGTCCGTCTTGTGTCTCTGCTCACAGACTTGACCGTGGTCATCATCGCCGGGGTGGGAGGCGGAGCCTTGCTGCTGTTCTCGCTCGGACTCATCATTTGCTTTGTGAAAAAAAAGTAGGTGGAACTTCTCAGGCTGTCTCTGGCTGGCTTTTTGTTTTATTTTGTTTTCGTTTTACTGTAGGGCATGTACACTTTCGAGAGGGAGACAGAGGAAGTGAAAAATAGCCCCCTGGGGGGATGACCACTTTACAACCACCTCTCCTCCATCCTGGTCTCAGGATTTTGGCCACACACTGTCAGTGCGCCTGGTGTTTTTTTCAGGTCACTAGATACAGGACTTGAACTGCAAAGTCAGCCTCTGGGTCCGGTGCCTAACCACAGGCCGCCGGCTGGCATCCATTCGGGCTGGTTTGACACCTCCTCAGACCAGATACACTGTTGATTCCTGACCTGGCTTCCTTGCCTCCTGTCTTCCCTCTAAAGATCAACATTAAGTACTGTTGCTGGGGGCCTGCAGTGGCATGGTGGTTAAGGCACTGGACTCTCATAGGCTGACCATGGTTCAAGTCCCAGACCTGGCAGCCTGCTTTCTCACTCCCCCCTGCCCCGTCTTTCTCTGGTCAAGTTAAAAAGTGATAATAATAAATTAAATTAAATAATTCTTTTTAAAAATGTATTTAATTTTATTTGCTATTATTGTTTTAATTTGACCAGGGAGAGAGAGGAAGGGAAAGTGAGAAAGACCACCAGGTCCGGGACTCAAACCACGGTCGGCCAACTAACACACCACCTGCTGGCCCCAAAAATAATTCATTTTTTTTTAAAAGGCTCTTGTTTAAATAATGCTGCTGGGTATGAGTTAGGCTATGAGGGGGAAATCCCACTCTGAGAAACACTCACATGAAAGTGTTGCAGTATTTTTCTTTTCTTCTTTTTCCAATTGCCAGAGAGTGTGTGCCCTTGTCAGAGAGACAGAGCGAGAGGGAGGGGGACGAGAGCCCTCCGGTCAGTGGTCAGTCCTGGCCACGCCGCAGTCCTCTGCTTTGACGTCCTGTAGGGATTGGGGCTGCATGCCACCCATGCCTGTAGTGTCCCCCACACCACTGGGTTGGGGTCTGTCATTCCCATCCACATGCCGGTCCCGTGACCACCAGGCAACACGGCTGGCTCTGGAAAGGGGGTGCTCGCGCCCATGCACGACAGAGTGCAGAGGACCTGGCAGACCGCACGTTAGTGGCCAGTGGCCGGCGAAGCACGCCGGCCCCGCCTATCCT